ATGATCATCACTGCATTGCAATTTGCAAACACACTGGTCTGCAATTCTGCATTGATTGACACAGTAGTAGATCTTATACAAAAAATAAATGTTGCAGTTTGTAAATTGTATGATGATTGATTTTGAGAGGCAGACCTATATGGCTGAATTGTCTTCGTTTTCCTTCTCGGACATCACGACCAAATCTCTGCGTCAAAAAATAAAACAATTTACCTTCAAAACAATCGCAAACACAAGAAAGCAAATCTGGCTCTAGCAGAAACGAAAATGAAGTTCATATGAAACAAATCACCTTGACAAGCATGAGTTCATCATAAACATCTTCCTTAACTGCAGTCACTCTGATAGAAGCATTTAAAAAAAATGAGAAGGTACTACAATACATTGCTGTCATTGCATCAATCTGTTGGAAAGTTACATTTCCTTTTACTAGAAAGAAGAATTCAACTGCCATTACCTAAGAATTCGTTTGATTTGAGAAGGCGAGAACTTGGCCAGTTCAATTCCCCAGCGAACGGCGCGCTGAGCTTCGCGTTTCTTCGCATTTCGGCTCTTCTTCACCTTATCAGAACCTCCGTCGCTGTCGCTATCGCTCTCGGATGACTCGAGCGGTACAGAAACGTCCGGCATTCGGATGGCGCCGGAGCGGAAGCTGAGGTGGCGGCGGGGCGAGAAGGGAGCTGAAGAAAACGGGGGCGAAGTGCAGGAAGCGGTATGAGAAGTTCGTAAAGGTGAATGAAGAAAACGAATCATCGCTGCACGAGGGGAAGAGATTTGGTATTGCCATCTTGTTGGCCACTTCAACCAAGCCTTCATCGCATGAGCCATCTCACTATCTCAGCTTCCTGCAACAGAAGCGAGGAGACAGAACGAACCAATAGGCAGGTCCGGAATCCGGGTAGAGCGCTCGTCGATTTGGGCCTTTGGGCTTTTACTAGAGATGTCGAAAATGGACTGGATAGCCCAATGGAGACGCGCGTGAACTGTGAAGACATACAGGTATATATATATTACGCGTATTTTTTTATCCCACACCGAGAGATTAGGATTGTTTGCTCGATTATGGCATTATAAAAAGAAGCGTTGGATAAATTGGGAGAGTATGATCCTTCAGGTTTTATGGGGATGTGATGAGTGGTCAATACTTGCATTCGTTGCAAGAGGAGTGCCCGCCTTACCTGTTACGACAATTGGGCGCTCTCACTATTTTCCATCTGATCCCTACACATTTTTAGTTTCTTTGCCATCAAAAATTTCTTATTTCTTATCTTTTTAAAAATAAAATCCTTTTTGTATTTTTGTGTAAATCCTTTTTCCTATTCATAATTTCTGCTTTATTTTTTTTTTTGAAATCTGGTTTTGCCGTAATAGGTTCACTTGAACTTGAAATGTTATCTTTTGAATTTAGGAGTACCTATTTTATTGATGCCACTTTTGCTGTTACTGGTTGTAGTTTAGGGGTAGTTTATCGTGGTTTTTATTCGCCCGTATTAGTTCGGTTGTAGTTTATGGGTAGTTTATCGTGATTTTTATTCGCCAGTAATATTTCGGTTGCTTTTGAAATCTCAAGTATAAACAATGTTCTAAAAGGTGTAAAGCGTGACGCCTAGGCGTGAAAAGGTGTATTGATTTTTTTGTAAAACATTTTAATATTTATAGAGCTACTAGTAAATATACATGTAATATACATGAAAAGGAGTAATAATAGAAAATATAGTGCAAAAGAATCAACATTTTATGTAGAATACACAATTATGGACAGCAATTGGAGGGAAAAATCCCGCCCAAATTAGGGTCATAATAGACAATTAATGCAAAATGTTATATAAAAGGAAAAGTACACGTATGACAATTAAAGTTTTGATGTCAATGATTATTAAATTGGAAAAAATCTATTAATCAAATGTGCCATATTATATAATGAAAGATGTTTTTATAAATATCGTACATGCATGTCTAGAAAGTAGAAATTCCTTTCATTAACTTTTAATAATTCTTACCAAATTAGCACGTAGCCAACATAAGTGTATTGTATTCGAGAACAGTAGTGTATTTACTTTTACGAGCTTTTACCTTAATATGATTAATAATTGGTTTTTTTTTTCTCAAAATACGACCAATTAGTTTAAACATCCTTAAATAGGCCTTCTTATTTGTGCTTGACCAAAATGCCCTCACTGCTGCCCCTGGACTGCAGCTGCCGATGGAAAATTTTCCAGAATTTTTTTGGCGGCTTGCCAACATTTCCTCCGCCACCGGAGTTCACCGCCGCCGCTGTTGGCGGAGCTGCCACCACCACCAGACTGCCCCTACTACCAATAGACTGTCTTGGTTGTGCAAGAGAACTAGGAGGCAATTAATTGAGTTATTTAAATAATTGATTCATTTGGGGTAAAAATGAAATGGTTAGTCCTATTTAGGAAAAACCAAATATTAGGTCTTGTTTTTGGAACAACCTGTGTTTTAGTCTACCAATAACATTTTTCTCTTACTTTTACCGACATAATGTATATGAAATATTAGTAATTATTTCATAGTATATACAACAATATTCCTACCCAAAATATTGTGTCTCATATGCGCATCACTAAATAATAATAATATTAATAATAACAACATCTCTATTTATACTCCTTAAAAAGTAGCGAGATCGCTATAAATTTTTTAGACAAAGTTGTCTTCCGTTTTAATATTATAGTGTCCTGTAAAAGTTAATCTTACACAGCCACATGTACTATGAGTGTAGTTAAGGAGAAACCCTAGGTCATGAAAAAGGCTAAATTAATTTTAAAAATGTCTAAAATGTAATTGTTGTAAAATATTTTGTATCAATATTTTTTTCAAAATGAATTTTTGTCCCGGATCAACCCAATTTGAGTGCATGCCTACGCGCCTAAGCCATTGCCCAATACTTCATGCTTCGTACAAGGTTTTTTTACTCTAGGGGGCGTCTGGGAGGGGGGACTGGAGTAATCGGGGCTGAAACTCACTCCATTGAGTTTCAAACTCTTATGTGCCTAGCGAGTTTAAACATCTAATATTACTAAGAAAATAAAGGATAGAGTGATTGTTTTACAATTCTAAAGTACAACACTTTAGAATTGTTTATTTCTAATACAACATCTATCATTTAAGCATGTTTACTATAGAAACACTGTCAATCAAGTCATATTAATCAGGCATAACATAATTTTAATTTAAAAACAAATGATTAATCTTATAGAAAATCATATTATCAAAAAAATCTTATAAACAATCATATAATTTTCAAAAGTAATATAATAATAATATACAAACTTTACTAGTTCAAAAATGGATAGATAATTTTAACAAGTTATCATAAAAAATAAAAATAGAAAAAAGACAAAAAAACAAAGCGAAAGTGTGAAAAACATAAAATTAAACTGTAATAACTTTAAAAAAGATGGAGACTATACAAATAGTTCCAAAAATACAAAAAAAAACACTTTAACATTCTGAAATTACCAACAACTTTTATGTATAAGTTTTTCAAATTTTAACAAAATTTTAAAGTTTTGTAATATAAAAAACATGATATTACAGGACAAAAATCGGTTAAATGATACATAGTTCTCCCTCGGTCCCGTTAAAATTGCTCCACTTTTCCTTTTCGGTTCGTCTTACTAAGATTGTGTCGTATCAAATTTGATAAATTTTGTGTGATTGTAAATCATTATTACGTTATTCTTACTTTATCAATTCAATATCAATCATATAAAGTCACTTTTCTTAATAACTGTATCGTCTCCTCATGTCCCGATAATATTAATATTGGTGGGACGGAGGTAGTATGTTTTTTAATATAGGAGATTTAAGTGATTAATTGGAAATAGTAGAAGAAACTATTTGACTTTTTCCCCTTCTTATTCAAAAAAAATGTTCATTACGTACCAATACACTCCGTAATAGGATGTTATTTCAAACAGATTATTACTCCATTCTAGATATACCCCGTGCATCGCACCGGTAATTTGTCTAGTGTAATATACATGAAAAGGAGTAATAATAGAAAATATAGTGCAAAAGAACCAACATTTTACATTTCCCAACAAAAATAAAGCCGCGACACAAAAATAAGAATGATTAAAACATATCAGTAGTTATAATAATAATAATAATAATAATAATAATAAAAATAATAAAAATAATAAAAATAATGATAATGATAATAATGATAATGATAATGATAATAATGATAATAATGATAATGATAATAATAAAGATCGTAATAATGATCGTAATAATGATCGTAATAATGATAGTAATAATAATAGTAATAATAATAGTAATAATAATAGTAGTAGTAATAATAATAATAATAATAATAATAATTTAAGAAAAATAATAATAATAATAATAATAATAATAATAATAATAATAATAATAATAATAATAATAATAATAATAATAATAATAATAATAATTCTCTTTGGATGAATCAACAGATTCTGCTAAATTTTTTGAGGTTTGGTTGAAGTGATTGGATTGACCGATTCTGGTGGTTTATGAAAAAATTATACTTTCTCCGTTCTTTAATTCTTGCAACATTGTGATTTTTGCACTATTTACAGACCTTACTTTGACCACGATTTTTTACTAATATACATAACCAAATTATTACGTATAAAATGTTATCAAATTCCTATCAATGTGAATTTCCAAAATATCAAATTTTTATAATGTTTACTATTACCTTCGTCCCCTATATTTGGGACAAAGGGGTGTGGTGGGAGTTTTAAGAAAAAGTAGAAATGTGTGGTTGATATTAAATTGATAAAGTGTGAATGAAGTAAAAATAAATTGTAGCCACCCAAATATTACCAAATATGGTATGAGACAAACTTAATGTGACGGACGAAAAAGGTAAAATGGGACAAAGGGGACAGAGGGACTAATACATAATTAAATATAATTACAATCAAAGTTGTGCATTGTCAAACGTGAAAGTCAAACTGTTGCAAGAATTAAAGAACAGATGATAGTATTTAAAATATTTTTATTAATAAATTAAATAAAAATATGTGAAAAATAGTTAAAATGATCGTCTACAGTAATTTCAGTCAATACTTCCAGAAAAGTAACATCAACCTTACTTTTTCTTATTATTACACAATTCAGCGCACGAAATCAAAAGTTTCGTGCTTGGTGAAACAATTGGCCGATAAACATGATAAGCCAAAAATAGTGTCACGAAACGCGCTCCTGATGTTTTATTATTATGCCCCCTAAACCTCCTCATTCTTTCCATAACTGTTGTTAAGTGTTGGTACAAGTTCTTGGCTTTTGCTTAATACGGGAATACCAAGCTTCCTGCTTTCCATCACTCCTTCCAACAATCTCTTATCTTCTTCAGAAATTTGTACCTTTTGCACCATCATGCTGCTGTTGTTAGGGGGTTTTGAAGTTTGCAGAACTTGTCTTTTATGAACTGCTGATCTTCCTATCACAAAAGCCCGAGTGGATCCGTCAAGTCTAACGAGATAAACCAGCCAGTGTAACCACGTCACTAGTTCAAGAATATATGCATCCATTTTGCTTTTGTCTGCGTGGTAGAGTGTCTGCAGTCGGATTAGGTTACTTATTTGTGAGTTCTCTTTCTTCCCACACGTACTCCTGCATTCAAGAACAAAAAAAAAACACTTGTCAAGTTGCTATGAAATAGGGCTCAGCACTAGATGACCGAACCCGAATCTCCAAAATTATTAAAGCTGACTGGTATAACTATAGTCTGGGACCAGATGGATTGATCATTCCAGGAATGACCAGCATTGGACTGAAATTGTATTTAAAATCAAAAGAAAATTGGCTTTGTTAGCTACTAATCTTTTTAAATTTTAATTTTCTCCGGATAATTATATATTTTCCATCATTTGCAATGGAGCCAAAGACTCACTATTTTTTTGCTTGGAAATATGAAGGAATAAAGCAAAATGTCTCACTAAACTATCTGCATTTCTTTATTATGAAGCAACAGTCGATACTAAATAAATGTTATATACGATGATGATGATGATGCTGGATAACTTATACGATGTTATGTGAATAAAATAAGTAGAGTTAATGCTTGAAATACACTTAGTACTAAATAAATTTTATATTTGCAAAAATTAAAATAGTACTACGTGAGGTTGGGAATTCTGGGTGCGATCTGGACTGACCATTGTGGTTCAATCCAACTTATCGACATAAATGTGCTCAGTCCTAGGTGCATTGTAGTGTTCGGATTCTGGTGGAGTATATGGCCCGGACGCACGGTTCATAGGGCTGGGTTCGGTTCGGGACCCGAACCGATTTAGTATAAACCCGAACCGAACCGATATTTCGGTTTACTAAATTACAAAAACCGAAACCGAACCGTATTAAGAACGGGTACCGATTTTTGGGGCCCGAATTATTCGGTTCGGTTTACCGGGAACCGAAAAACCGACTCAATTTTAAAAAATAAATTTGAACTAATATTCAGTAGACTAAAGCTCATTGAAACTTTCCAATATTTGAGCCCCATTAGCCCAATTGGAAGCCTAGAACGTATCTTAGCAGCCTACAATAAGGGAACTTGGTTTATATTGAAGTTTTTGGAGTAGTAAGCTGCTCATTTTCCGGTGTGGGACAAAATAGAAGAAGAAAGAAGCCAAATTCTAAAAATACAAAACATTACACAGCATACGGGAATCGATCCCTCGACCATTTGCTGGGGATAGGAGCACAATGACCAACTCCGCTACTCGTCATCTTTGTTCAAACCATACTCGGGTTTATATTATTACTATATTTTTCGTCATTAATTATTATTATTATTATAAATAACAATTATTATTATTAATATAAAAATGTCGGTTCGGTTCGAACCGATATTTTGTGCACATAAACCGAACCCGAACCGATTTTTTTTCGGGTCCTGATTATTGGGTCCCAATTTCGTTCGGTTCGGTCCGGTTCGGTTTTTTTCTAAAACGGTTCGGTTATTTTCGGTTCGGTTTTCGGTTTTTCGGTTCAAAATGCCAGCCCTAACGGTTCATATACTCTGAAGATAACTGAGGTTGGGATTTTGTTTATTGTTACTATAAATACCTCATTTTGAGTAATTGTAAGGTTTCGAAAATCATCCATTGCATATTAGTTTCACTTAGTACTCAGTTCTACTTTCTCTCTAGAATACCACTAGCAATTCGCGGTATAGCTATCAGATTCTATTGTTAAAAATATGTTTTTGCTTGTATTATATCAATGTACATTACTTAACATGTACCAATGAGATGGTGGCTTGTAAAAATGGACCACTGAAACCAAACGTTGGGCTCACCATAGACCTCGAAATGGTTGATCGGTTAAGCGTTTGGTCCAAAACTGTTAATAGGAAGTGATGAAAACACAAATCAGTTAACTAACCAGGTGTTAGCCCATTCTCCGACCCATCCGAAACCTTGATGTGATCTGCTTCCACATCCAAAATTGAAACAACCAGCAGTGGTAAGTAAGAATAATGTGAAGCTTGCTAAGGCAACCAGAAAACTAACAAACACTGATGTTACGTACTTTGTAGTATCAGTAGCTACTGGAAGAAGCCATGTGAGAATTTTTTCCATTTTGGCCCTAATTTGAGGAATAGTGAGCTGCAAGATTGACATTGTAATGTTAAGTTAGGCTCTTTTGGGTAGCTATGTATAGCTCATTTAGGTTATTAGCAGAATAAATAGCTTTTACCTTAAACAGAAGTAGAAAATTCAGGAGGTTTCAACCAAATAAATCAAAGTATCCATTGACTCCAACTCAATATACTACCAATGAGGGATCCTCAACTGTTAATAATACTCACTCTAGAGTCCAGACCAATATGTTTGTCAATTCCACTGTGGGCGCAGTGAGCCTCAATCATTTTTATTCTATCATTTTTGTGCATCAGTTTTTAACACCTTCGAATTTGGTTTTTCCGATTCAACAGAACTTTTAGTGTTGTTTCTAAATTTATAAATTTTAATTATTGATACTAAATTAAATACTTCATATTATTATGGGATGTTTAGCTTTAACCTCACCCAGATCTCATTTTCCCAAACAGGACACATAAAATGGCAGCAATGGAGTATCATCCAAATTCTGGTGATTAAAAGAATGGTGAAGGATAAAAAATGAAAGAAAGTAGCAAATGAAGACAAACCTCTTCCTTTGTATCACCATGTGACTGTAGCTGAGAACGAAGTGATGCCTTTACCGATGATGGCAACCCATTATACAATGTATCCCTCATGTTCGAGGGGAGAGGCATGGGGCATGAAGCCTAAGATTATATTAAATCCCCGTTATGTTAACTAATAAATATACCAAGTAGCAATAACATGAAGTCAAGAACTACATGTCTAGTTGTCTACATAAATTTCAGAACTCATGAATGCTTACAATGTTATCTATTTTAGTGATGAGGTTAGCATAGTGCAAAGCCAAACCAGCTGCTCCTAAACTTTGTGATCTCTTTGAATTCCCCTTGCACACGTGAATTAATCCTAGTACCAATTAAAGAGAGAATATAAATGCAAATTATACATTACAGACTAACAAGAATACAAGGTTCATGGAAATCTTGAGTTGTAAGACTATCTTAGCACACAGATACTATAGTGAGAGAAAGATTGTTAAGGTCGCATACCACTCTCTCCAAATGCATTTATAATCTCATGATGAAGAAAGGTAACAATGTCAACAAGCTTCTCCACAAGCTTCAAATAAAAAATCATTACTTTCATTAGAAAACTCACAATGAATGATGAAAAAAGAAGATAAAATGCTAAGACTGAGAAACTACAATTGATTGAAAAACAAAAAAATACTATCGTATATCATTATGGGTTTTTTATGCAAAACTAGTAAATACAAAACGCTAGAAGCAAGAAGCTGCTTTTTTCAGCCTCTTAATTTAGCGGTCTGAGAGTATTGAAATTTATCAAAGTGCTCCAAAAATGCTACACCCCAACACTTAAAGAGCACTCGGTTAGAGAGCTGAAACCCTTATATTTAAAGGTTACCTCTTCCAGACCTTTAGACCAAAGAGATTTTTTTTTCAAACTCCTCACAGTTTTCCTTTGCTGTTTTAACTCACTGTGCAACATTTCAAGGCCTTCCCCTGCAAGAACAATGAAAAGTTGAGCTAGTCAAAACAAGGTATTAAGTTATTAACAAAAACACAAATCTTGGAATATCTATTATATACCTTTGCAAGGTAGGTTTAATGACACTAATTCATCAATTTGCCTCCTATAATCCTGTTCAAATCTAGCCAAAGCATGCAACTCATGATACAGTTCCTGCACAAAGAACATTTTTCTTTATTAACTCATGATACAACCACGTCGTAACCAGATAATATTATGGCGCCGGTTTGGCAAAAACATGATTTGTGATTCTTTATAATCACAAATACAATTTATGTTATGTGGAGAATTGATTAATTCAAAGGTAAATTTTTGTAAAAGCATGCAAAACATCTGAAAGTAAAATAATCTTACTGAAGTATGTTGTGCGAGTATGACCAACTCTTGCATCGTCATTTCAGCCTTTTCACTGAGTTGCTTCTTATTTATATGGTCAGAATCCAACCTGACACATGGTTATACAAATTATTCACGTACACATTAATTAAAGAACAAAAGTTAATTTAGCTCATGATAAGCAACCAACTCGACGAAGAGCATGTGACTAACTGTGAGAAGTAACGGTCGAGGTTGTGCCATTGTGGATCTTTACACATGTTTCCAAACCTTACTACTTCCTGAGAGAAGATATCAAATTCCTCCCTATAATAAATAAAAAGGTGAGTGTTGATTTGATGATGGTATGAAGATCACCACACATCTTGTAACAATCTTTTTTAGGATAAGACTAGGGTCAACTTAACTCCAAAAACCTTTCAAAAGGTGAGTACTGTCCCATAATTATTAGGGGTTCATTCAATCATGTTTAGCTGATCTGCAGACTCTCCAATACCTTCTCACCGCCATTTGGAACATTCATTTTTTCATTTGGACATATACCATTAACCGAGATAAGACGATACTTATTTATTGACTTATTAATGTATATTTATCCAATAGGGGACACTGTTCAATAATCTTACATATTAGTATAGTGTTTTAGCCCTTTTTACATGGAAGGTGGATGATACTTATGTAAGGCCCTAAATACTTAAGAGGCTAAATAAGTACTTATTCGGACTTAAACAATAAGTCCTGATGCCATACTTCTTCTCATATGTGTGTTACTAAGTGAGAGTACTCATTAACAAGGCAACACAAAAATAACCTTATACTACGTATTAGTTATTTTATTCAATTCAAATTGTGTAATCAGCATACAAAATAAGCAGGCCCTTACATGAAGATCACATAATCCACATACTTATCTTAATAGGGACAAACATCTTAATGTAAACAGATCTTGGGGAAAAAATAAACAGCACCTAACCTTTTGTCTGCAGCAGCTATAGTCAGCAACTCTTTCATATCAGTAGAGACCAACTCTTGCACTGCCTTTGAATGTAGAATATCATCCTTTAAATAACGGATACTTTCTTCTGATAGAGATTGTGATAAGCTAGCTCCTCTGGTGATGGTATTTGCAACCTCAAAAGCCAGTATTAATATTCTGTTCCCTCTTGACCTCGTGCCAGGAATAAACCCACTGTAGTTTAAATTTGTCACACTACTTCCTAAAGTGTCTAGAACCTCAACTGCCTTTTCAAAACCAACTACGCCAGCTTTTCCAAGAAATGAGCTTACTTGAGGTGCCTATCACAATAAGATTAGTTTGTTCTCACACAATGAATGCCATATATCGAGAATGTGAAGAACCGAAGCTCTCCAACAGTTTTCACTGTTTTGGAGGTAAATTCTAACTTTAAAACCACAAGATGTGAAGAACAAGGTTGGTTAACTCAACGTAACTGTAAAACAACTTGACAAATTAATTGGTACTTACTCGATGTGGCACACTTTAACAACATTACTATTTTCCAATCCAATGCAGCTAAAAAGGTGTATAGTAACTATGTCAATATGTCATGATCATGTTTTAGCATTAGGGAACCTCATTATGTGTTTTTATGAACAAACCAGTTCACCCAACCAAACAAGAGAATGCTGCTCCAGTGCTCCACACCTCCGGTAAAGTTGATCACAAGACTAACTTTTTCAAGATTAGCTGTTCTCCACGTCAAAACACAGTTTGTTCTTTTCAACTCGCCGCCGCCCCATCAGTTTACTTTTCCTTTATTTAATAAGTAGTAGTTCTAACAGTTCCACCATTACACTATTCAAGTACCCTACTTTGACCATAGTTTTCATTAATGTGTAAACATAAACCCTATAATGTAAATTTTTTGTCAAATTTATCATAATATATATTTTTCTGAATACAAATTTTTATACCTTTAACAATAGATAATTGAATATGTTATTGGTCAAAATTGTTTGTTGAAACATGAAAGCGGCTACTCCAATTAAAATAGATGAGAGGAAGTACATTGAACACAGCGCAAAACACTTGCTACAAATATTAAAAATTGATCGCATGAGCTTAATATGCTTAAATCCTAGATACTATTTGGTGCTATATTAATACTTTGCATTTCATCATAAGATAACCAGCTCAAAACATTATACAGTTAGTTTGCATCTTAATACAGTATTTAGAACATAACATTACCTTGTTTGTAGCTGCTGTCCTGCAAGGCGTTGAGGGCTTCAACTCCCTAGCAACGGTTAGCAATTCACCAGAATCATATAGGTTGTGCATCATCTCCTTGTTAGCAACTGTTCTGGGATATTCACAATAGTCAATGTCCTTATTATTCTGCCCAGATGTTCCCACGGATGGCTCGACCTTTTCCGAACCTCGAGAAACGCTTTCATGGCGCCCCTCTGCTTTATTCTTAGCCGTCGCCGCTCCCGCGCAAACTGCCCCCATTCCTCTGCCCAATAAACTCTTCCGTCTATTCACCTATCAGGCTATCAATTCAAAACACGTCAAGTTGTAAACCACCATTCACGGTGAGCAGAGTACAAATAAAAAAGTTTTTAAAAATCGCAAAATCATTCAATAGACTAATAGTGCACTGTACCTATAATAAAGATCATGAAAAACTGAAAACAGAACCGTTCAAAAGCTCATGCCGCGTAAAGCGATGAAGAATTAGCAAAATTTAAGCCACAATATAAAAATTAGGAAACCGAAATGTGTTAGGAATTTCCAACTGCGCAGACGCCACCGCAAGATTGACCAGAAACGCAGAAAAGTTGTTTCAGCGTTTATTTTGGATTGCGTTTGGCATTGAATTCGTCTTACTTCCATCTCTCTGCGATTAAGTTTTATTTATTTAATTTTCTTTGCAGGTGAAGTTCGGGTAATGTGGAAATGAGAATAAGTCTTTGTCAGCAATGTAGGCGGAACGCGGAGCGGAGAAGGAAGAGTTATGATGTCAACTCACAAGTCAATACCGCCGGTGTGGTGATTAGCTCCCGACTTGATATTTAGAGGGGCTTGTTTTAGTTTTACTGGTTGGTTTATTACCGTATTGTTTCGCATGGTAGTGAAAATTTAGAGCCGACTGTCACAGATTTGTTTCTTTTAACAAGGTCAAATGCCGTCTAGCTCCTTTTTATCCTTACACCTTAAAGGCTTAAATCTATGTGGGATTTATAACGGGTCAAGGTTCATTTATGTCGGCTCGGTAATTTTTCATATTTCACTCACTTATTCATTATCCATTTAAAATTACATTAACATCCAACTCATCCATAATGAACAGGTTATCGGGTGAATCAGGTGAGTAACGGGTAAAAATAAATGGTCTAACTTGAAAAAAAACATTAAGATAAATCATTGCAATTAAAAACTAAAAATTAAGAACTCATTGAATAATAATAACAAAACTTGAGTAATTAAGTATATTACAATCATTAATTCATTGCCGATAAAGAAAAAACTGGTTGTCAAACAAAATAAACATAAAACTTCTTAAAGATGACAAATTCTACATTTCAGCATCGGCACAAACTATTTTTGCAGTTCAACTGCTACTTCTTGAAACTCTTCAATTGTCTTTACTTCATCAATTCATAGATATGTGTCTTCTCTATTAACAAATACACATCTATTAATATATTACGAGTAGTATTAATTATTATATACATTATTAAATAGAAATTATAATATATAAACATATATAGAGTCTCGTTCTTGTCCAGACGGCTTGACGGGAACCGCCGTCAGGTTGAGGGATTGGGGGGATCTTTGGGATAGGAATTCATTGCCTTATTCACGGAAGAGAGAGATGGTAGCTGGTCGGAAGTGGTAGTAGCCTGTTGTGTGACGAGGGGTGCTAACTTGATTGTTCTAGCTCTCAACGAGAGCACCAAATGATAGAGTATATCTAGAGAGAAGTGAGAGCTAGAGAGAGAAGTGCAATATATGCTTCAATAGACTGAATTTGTCACCCCTATAACTACCCCCAAGGGGAGTATTTATAGAGAAAATACGGACTGGGCTCCCAAGCCTTGGGCTTGGGAGGCCCATTTACAACTGGACCGCTACTGGGCCGAATACAAAGCCACTAATGGGCTGTATAAATGAGTAAGTGTAGAATCCGGCTCTGTGGAGTCTTCGTGGCCGACGAGGGCGTGGCCGACGAGGGCGCGGCCGACGAGGGCACCCGGGTTCCTTGGCTTCAGGACCATAATCTGAGTTGACACCTTTTCGGCCGACGGGGGGTCCCTTGGCCGACGAGGGCGCCACTCTGTGTCCTGTGCTTTCTGTTCTTCCGAGTATGTGGGTCCGGGGGCTCAGACCCATATACTCCATCAGGAGTCCCCCACTCTCTAAGCTGAGATGCAGACGAAGTGAAGGAGAGTAGATTCCCGTGCTTTGGTGCCTTTGGCCGATGCGGGCATTCCCAGGCCGTCAGCTGTCGCGGCGTTGGCGCTGTTTCCATTTTGGTGATCCTGTTCTGTGCTTTGGCCGTTACCTGCTCCTCGCTGTGGACGGGGAGGCCGTTGTTTCTTGATGTGTTCGTTTGGGGACGATAGGTGTCCTGCTTCAATGGTGGCCGTTGAAGGCACGCTCTCCCTTTCTTGGACGTTGATGGTTGAAGTTTACATTTGGGCCGATGAGGCCGTCGAGGTTGAACCTTGCTTCGAGGACGATGGTGTCCTTTCCTTTGGGTTGCCGGTGAGGGTGCTTGCGCACTGCTTTTGGCCGTAGCTGACTGGCTTTCGTGTCTCTGGCCGAAGAGCCCATTATGATTAACCGTTGGCGGAGGACGATGAGTGTCCTTGCCTTAGGTGGCCAGTTGGCCGTTGCTGATGACGTTATGTTCCTTTGGCCGACGAGGCGCAGTGTGATATATGGCCGATGTGGCCATGCTTTGTGGTTACATTCTTCAGGCCGAAGAATGTGAGGGGTGAAGGAGTTGCTTGAGTCCCTGGCCGAAGCGGCCTCTTCGTAGTGCCCCTGAATCCAACCCTCATGGCGATTTTCTGGCCAAGGTAACCCTGTGGGAGAACCCTTGTGCGCAGATCGCTTGTAAAGAGTTATCATCAAGGGTCATTACGAGGAGCCGATGGCTGTGGGTTCTTTTTTCCTTTGGTTCTGTGGCCGTTACGGGCGTTCATTACGTTCCTGGCCGTTGTCATCTCCTTATTGTTGGCGTTTGTGAACTAGGCAAGCGAGTAGGACGTTGTGGGCGCTTGCTGGCACTCGTGAAGCCGGCAAGTGTATAGGCCGTAGAGTCTGTTTTGCCAGTGGGCTGTTGATATGTGGGTTGGGCCTGGCCCGTTGGTGACGTGGTGGCCTCCCATTGGTGGCCGTTGATGTGGCCATTGGGAGGGTGCCACGTGTAGTGACCGTTGGGTGGGGGTTCTATAAATACCCCTCCCCCTCCGACGAGAAAACTCATTTGCATCCTGAATTGTCGAAGTGCTGGCCAATTTTCTAGAGAGATAAACTCCCAAGCTTGTTCTTCGTGTTCTTCGTGTTCAAGGTTAGTGTTCATCGCCATCTTCTGTACTTTGCATACTTTGCTTCCTAGGCTAGTGATCTAGTGTTAGGCGTTTGAACACCCTTAGATCCTAAGTTATTCCCCTTAGGCTCGTAGTAGTTGTTATGATGAAGAGCTTGAACGAAGACTACTATCCGTACGACGACCAGCCCTCCACTAGGTCACTCAACTATGAGGTGCTCGAGGAGTTCGAGGAGGAGATAGAACATTTAAGCCCTTACAAGTCCGGGGAGCCAGTGGACGACGAAGTTGAGGACGAGGAGTCCGTCTCGTCTTCAAAAGGTGAGGATGCAGCTGCGTCCCGAGTGGTGGACGGGGCATCCACTTCAGCTGTTATTCCGTGCCCGAGGCCGGTGTCCGCCGTTAAGGGAGCCGATAAGCCGAAAAGAATAAGGAGGCCGAAGAGTGGGTCTGGCGTCTCCTACCTGGACCTCACCAACATCTTCCTGATCAAGCCGGAGAGCAGCGCGGCCGACTACTTGGTTGCCCAGATGTACGTGGGCCCGTTCGGGCGGGTTAGGGCACCCAGGCCGACGGACCATGTTCTTCATCCGCCACCGGGATACTTTGGAGTATACCCGATGAGTTTTGCCAAGGGGCTGAGGTTTCCCCTTCACCCCTTCATCACCGAATACCTTAACATGGTGGGGCTCCCTCCGGCCTTGCTGACGCCGAACAACTATTCGTTGATGGTGTGGTTTCTGCTCCGTTGTGAGGAGCTGGGCTACAGGCCGACGACGGCCCTGTTCATGAATCTGTATCAGATCGGCCGAGGAAGCCACAAAAACTGTGCGGCCTATGCTACTCTTCAACAGCTACCGAAGAAGAGGAGCTTCACGGACTTGCCTTCGTCCATTCATGGGTGGAAGAGCAAGTTCGTTTTTGTATCCCTTGGTGAGAGTGGCACCGAGTTTCCCTCTCTCGGTCATACCGGGAGGTTCAATCTGCATGACCCGCCGAAGAGCTCTATCTTGGACGCTCAGGTGGAGGCTTTCCTGGAAGGGGGGCCGAGGAGCGTGAAGGATTATATCACTGAATACAAGATGACCGCCCTCGGCTTCTTGAGATACCATGTGTATGGCGATAAGGAGGATGATATCCAACTCTGGCCGAGGATGACCACCACCTTCGAAGAGGCCGACGGCCCGGACTTGGGCATTCCTGCTGAGGCCGGTGGTAATTATTTCTTCGGCTTTCTTTCTTTATGATTTGTTCTTTTGCCTTGCTAATCTGTTGTTTTTTCTTTGTGTAGATTTTTTCATGGATCGTCGTTCCATCATGGCAATTGCTAAGGCCAAAGCGGCCGAGGAGTTGGCTGCAAAGGCGGCCGAGGTGGCCAGACGTGCCGCGGCCGAGGGAGGCGGGGCTACTGCTGGTGCGGCCCCAAAGCCTGCCCAATCCAAGAAGAAAAGGCCTCCCACTAACGGCCAGAAGAAGTTGACTGAGGCCGGCCTGAACGTCACCAAGAAGACGAAGAGGGCACCGTCTCCTTCCCAGGCTACTGAGGCCGGCACTCTTACCGTCCCCAGTGTGGACGATAGTGGTCCTGTTGTGGACCTCACTGCTGCTCCTAGCGATGCTGCCCAATCGTTTCCTCTCGTCTAGGAGCCACGGACGAAGAGGGCTGGCAAGGAGATTGCCGCTGCCACCTACCAGAAGGTGGTGGAATACCCCGTCGGCGGGGGTGTGTTTGACGATGTCGTCCTTGGCCACGATGTGCTGGCCCAGGCCATGCCGACCAAAGATCGGGCCTACCTTAAGAAGCTCGGGGACGTGAAGGTGTACGAGGGCGGGATGGACCTCCTCGTCCAAGTAAGTTCTCTTCCTTCTTATGTGTCATTTTTGTCGTCGTCCGAGTGGAATTATTTTTCTGAGCCTTTGTTTGCCCTTTTTTGTGCAGAGTGCCTGTTGGTCCCGGTTATATTGGATACAGTCTAGAGGGGGTGAATAGACTGTATTGGTTTTTAGCTTTTTAAACTAAGTACCAGATTTACATAATAGCCTCTTCTGTTGAAAGAACAGACTGGCAGTGGATGGGGTTCTGGTAAGGAGTTCTGTTAGCCTCAGAGAAGCAAAGGCAGTAGGCCTTCTGTTAACTCGTAGAACAAGTTATGTTGAACACAGATACCAAGTCCAAGGAGTTAGACAGTTCTATCTAAGTGCGAGTATTAAAGCAGTAAGTAAACGACACCAGGGATTTTTATAGTGGTTCAAGGAACAACTTGTTCCTCTAGTCCAATGTTCCACTAAGCTGTAAAAACTGCCGTTTACAAAGCCTTAGTCCTAGCACTTAAGAAGCACTCCACGTCTTCTTCAAGTCTAGATGTCTCCTGGGATGCACTGCCTGGCTTCCTTTAAGACTGGTCCTTTTACTGAGTTTCCTTGAAGTATCACCACTTCACTACTCCAGTTACTTGGACGTCCTTCTTGTAGCAAGA